TGCTCTGTATTTTTCATATCTAGATATTCTCTTTTATAGGTATTCTTTCTAATATCAATAAAACTTTTTTTCACTTTCTCCCAGAGATACCCAAACTAACAGCTGGTCAAATCTTCCTCACTGTGACTTATTTCCAGAGTTGCTAAAGAGATGAAATGCCAAAAGACACATCTTGGGCTGTGCTCCACAGGCAGGAACCTGCGAGAAGATGAGAACAGCACAGCAAAGACCTGGACAAGGGGACGGGGAAGTTCTTTGTTTGGCTTTGGGTTTTTTCTCCCCCTCTGACTGATTTTAGGAGGGTTTTTTAATCTGAACACCCCTTGGCTTCTGCAGGGAGAGCCTTTCCTGCTGCCTGGTGCCTCAGGCACTGCTGCCAGGTTGGCTCCTGCCCCTCCCTGGCTGTTCGTGTCCTGCTGTCCATCCCATCCGAGCAGGGATTTGACATTCCCACAACAGTTGTGCCACGAGTCTGAGCAAGTGCTGCCTCCACAGGGAGGCTCAGCACAGGATCAGGGTAAGGCAGCATCCTCACCTTCCCTCCAGATTCTGGAAGTCCTTTCTGGTTCAAATCTCCAGTTTGAGTCCCCACTGAGCAATGTGGCACATTAGAAACACGATAAGAAAACCCCTGAGTGGTGAACCCCATGAAATAAAGTCTCTTTTGTTTATAAAATATGAAATCAAATCTCTTTTAGGGCATGGAAAGCCAGCAGGAACCCCAGCTCCAGCCCTGGGCAGCAGCAGCAGCAGCATAAAACCACCAACATCTCAAAGCAAGTGGCTTGGGAGGCCCAAATTTCAGGGGACCATGTCCTGTTCCTGTGTTTTTCCAACTTGTTGTATGAGTAAGGGGAAGGGTAACCCAGCCAAAGCCCTGCTGAGCAGCACTGAGCAATGTAACTGATCATTTCACTTTGTTTTCAATCCAGACCTTTGCCTTGGGAATTTTAACAGAAGATGCCTGAACCAAAAAGACTTTTCCTTTTTTATTCCACCTTTAAGCTGCTAAAAGCTGTACACTGGAAAATAGATATCCTGCCTGGGGCTTCCTGCTAAACACTGGGATGTTAAAACATCTTACCTCAGGCTGCCTTCTCCCCCCTTTTGCAACCCACAGAAGGAAAGAGAGCTCAAGGAAGAAGAGTTAAAAGGTTTGTTACACTCCTGTAAACAGCAGATGATTGGCAGGGCTTGACATCAGCAGTTTTTGCAATAAGATCCACATGTGGTGTAGGGGCTGGAGGTGGAAACAAGGACTCAGAAATTGCTGCTGAAGGTGTTTGCAGAAGGATCTGGAAATGTTTGGACCAAAGCTGCAGAATCCTGCTGGGGGACTGGGAAAAGCAGCCCCAGAAAGGGACAGAGCTGCAAATGCCACCAGGGCATTTCTGCCAGGAGGGGCTGCTCCAGCAGAGCTCTGAGGGGAAACAGTGGGGAAATACCAAAGCAAACCAACCAAAAACAAAAAAAAAACCAAAAAAAAAAACACCCTAAAAATCCACAAACAAACAAAAGAACAAAAATCCACCAAAAATAACAAACAACCAGGTAGAGGAGGAGATTCTAGCATTTCTACAGGCACAACAAGACAGAGATTTGGGAATGGCCAAGAGAAGCCATTTCCCATTCCCTTGCTGGATTTCTGAGTCCAAGCACTCTTTCCTAAAGGATGTTCTGTTTCCTCAAGCAATGTGATGGTTTCAGTCCATTGCTTGCTCTCTTTCTACTCATACACTGTCTTTAAAAACAGGGAAGAGCATTTCTGTACAAACTGCATAAAAATCATTTCACCATATACTGATATACAAATTTTCAATTTTAGTCCTGGACTACCTCTAATCTACATTACAAAAAAAATAATAATGTGAATTAATGATTTCACACTTTCATCAAATCCTCTGAGCTATCACAGACCCCCTGCTCTGCATGGCCAGGGAACACTGAAATCCACAAACCCCAGGCACAGAAGGGATTTTCCTGAGGAACAAAATATTCTTACCCTGCCCCTGTGTGATCCTCACTGCACTGGAGGCCACACCTGCACTGGGAATTCTCTCTCAAGATGCATTTGCTGAAATCCAGCCTCAGTTTTGCACTTTTTTGAAAGGGCAGCAAACTGATTTCGTGTGGCTCAGTAATGAGAGCAGTAATTGCCACGGGGCTGGCAAAGATTTATGCACAAGTTCTCAACTGCTTCTCATGGCCTGTCAGATGGTGAAAGGGAATGCAAAGCACATCATCAAAACCACTCCTGAGAGCAACATTCCTGAAACCTGCACTCCTGCTAAGGAATATGAAAAGAAGGAACTGGGGTGGCTTCTGGAGAAGCAATAAAACTGCATTTTATCCAGAGATTCCTCTAGATCAGATTCCCTGATTGCACCAGAAATGGAAATTTTGTTCTCCAAGACTCACCAGATCTGAAATGAAGATGTGAACACTCACATCCTTACACAGGGCTCCTGAGCACTCTAATATTTGTTGGAAGTGTGGATTTTATCCTGCTTTTCTCCTTCTAAAGCCTCAGGAGAAATATATTTTGCACTTCAACTGCAGACAGCAGTTAAATGCTAATTCTGTTACAGCATCAAAAGCTACAAGTGGGTTTCAAGAGTCAAGAAAAGAGTTATACTATTTTTTAAATTAGATGAGTTCAACTTATTATACTAACCAGTATTGCCATTAGTAGATATAAATTCTGGATGTGGGAGAGGCAGATATAGAAATATTAAATAAAGGCATATAAATGCTCAATTTACAAGTGGTGTTTCCCTGACATTGTGTGCTAAAGTTTCTTGTTTCCATATTACAAGACTGTCACTTCTGGGGGTGACAACTTTTCAAGTTACTCCAAGCAAGAAGTTGTTGAGCTCAGAATATTGGCAGTGGTGGTTGAATAAATTAGTGTGGAAAGAAAACTCCTCTTAGCTCATTTTCAAAATGAAAATGCATTTCATTTGGAAAAACAAAAGAAAAAAATTAGAGTTTTAAAGAGGAGGCAAGATCAAGAATAGAGAACAACATGTGCCAGCTCTCCTTTCTAACACCTGGCTGTACTTTCAGAAGTAAATATAGTATTCTCAATGGGCAAAAACCAATAAGTTTTTTGGTTTTAAAAGTTACCAATAAGTGCATATTTCAATGAAATTTTCATTCTAGGGAGAATGAGAAAAGGAAAATACTGAAGCCAAACCCATTAAAATCAATTTCAAGCGGGATTACTCCCCACTTCACCAAGGCAAAATCAAGCTTAAAATGTCCATTTTCCAGAGTTTGGGACTCTTCAAAAAGTCATCTACCAATCAATTAAAGGTACCCTTGGCAGTAATTTATGATATACTAATTTTAAAATTAAAGGGAATTATTTATACAACTGCCCAAAGAAAGATTTCAAAAAAAAAGTGTGGAAGACCTTAACAACGTGTTCCACAAATTGGATTACAAGATGTTCACTAATTTGATTTTTCTTCTTGTGTAAACCAGGGCAAAATCTTTTAGGAAAACAATTTAAAGCAGGGAAAGCAGTGACTATTGAATAGAATGCTGTGCTGTGGGAAAACACAAACACATTTTCCCAGGCTGTGCTGCTGAGCTTTCCAGCCTCCCTCACAATCTCAGCTGGCTCCTGTCTTCCCATGGGAAAAGAAACATTTTAAATGCAGGATGAAAATAAGAAGAATAACAATTTGAAAAAGAAAGGAACAAGCCTCCCCTTGCCTGATGACACAGCTCCCCTAAAACCTGGAGAAATTATGATTTCAAAATTCTTTTCCTGCAAGATAAAATAAAATACGGCAATCTGCACATTTAGTCTAAGCTAAATCTTAATTTTGTCAAGAATCTCTCATGGTTTATAATGTCCCCAAGGTATCCCACCTCTTAGATGAGGTAATTCCAATAAATAACATTTTCTTCAGTTAAAAAAAAAATAAAGCAATGACTCCTTTATCTTTCCATGCCTAAATCGAGCACCTGCTGAATCAATAGCCAAGCTTTCAAAATGCAGTGAGGGAGCAATGAAAGGCTCCCAATGATTTCCAAAGGATGAAAGCAGCCCAGGCAGGAGGCAGGAGCTGTGCATGGCTACGTGCTGATTGTGCTGCTGAATGGCAAGGCAAGGAGGAAGGGGCTGCAAGGAAAAGCAGCCAAAGGAAACTGCAGCAAATGTGAAAAGCATTTCAGGGCTATATTTAGAGGAAGACATTCTTCCTACATTTGCCAAGCTGCTCACGTCATTTCACACAGCATGTTTGATCCAGCTTTAGAAGTCTGGGAGGGAGCAGGAGAGAGAGGGGGGAGTAAAAAAAAATCTGGATCAGCTGCCAGAAATGGAAATCTTGCATTTATGGAGAGGAACAAATATTTTAAGCATGTGAATTCATGAGTGCTTTCCAAAGAGGGTGGGGGGGAAATGGGAAAAAAGGAAGGGGGGCAGGCAGGGTGGTAAAACTTCCTGCAGCCAGAAAGGCTCTGCAGAATATGGGGAATATTTATCAGGAACAGGACTTTGCTCCAATATTCCCTTTGGAGCCAGGCTCATGAGCCTGAGCTGCACCACTAAAAATACTGAAATGTGTGAATCTCACTGAGTTCAAGCCTTCATCTGGTGTAAACTGGAGATCTGTGCTCCTGCCATGGGATCCAGCAGTTACATAAGCAATTACATACTTCTCATCCATAATACGTGATAAACAACCACAAAGGATGAATCAAGCACCCTCCAAATGCAGGCTCAAAGGTGCAAACTGTATCAAAACCCCTCCAGTTTCACAAGAAAAGTTATGATTTTCCTTTAACTCACGTCATGAGGTTCAGGATTTGCATAAAGAAACGTCAAGATGAAAAGAAAAATATGTCAGGAGCAGATGTAATGGGATCAGGAACAAACCACGTGGAAGTTTCCTGTTAGTGACCTTCTGGAGGCTGGGGATGGAATTGATTTGAGATTTAGGACATGCTTTTCCTAAACTGAGATGACTTGTGTGAAAAGTTTTTACCTTCATTCCCTTCTCCAGGTGGCTGATAAAAGGAAAGCCCCAAAGATATGATGGCTGCAATTTCCAAGATTATAAGAGTCACGTCCTGCAACGCTTCCCAAACTAGCTGTATGAATGTTTTTGGCTTCTTTGGAGGTATAAAATTTTTTCCAAAAATAAGCTTTCTTTTTTCTAGGTCTGCAGCAGTTCCAGCTAATCCTGTAAAGAAAATACAATAAAATCAAATCAGTTCAAATTGCCATGAAATAGAAAATACATCCCTATAAATTACTTCTCAAAGAAAAATTCCAAGCTGCGGCACCTATGGCATATAGACAAATGTAAATATTACACTTCAATTGTGCCTTCATGAGAGGATTTGTCCTGATATTCTGAACAGAATTCTCATGAGCTCCATTTAGTACTAATTCCTGCCAGGTTTCATCATTAAAAAGCCTTTGAATTAAAGGTTTGTATTAATAAGACCTATGTATATACAAATGTACAAGCAATGACTTCTGAAAATAGATCCTAAACACAAAGAAATTATTTTTGGGATGAAGCTGGAATAGCTGACGGAAGCTTTTGGTAATACCTGTAGCAGATCACACAAATCTTTGCTCTGAATGCAAAGGATAAATCAATAAAGCCTCTGTTGTGCTACTTCAAAGCAACCTCTGGCTGCAAATGGACTTCAGCACATCCCTGGAATGAGCAGCATCACATTTTTGTCACAGGAAAAAGGCAAAGTGACAAGTTAAAATGCACAGAAGGGCAAAAGGAAACAACATGGCTCCATGTGTTTTACATGATGCTTCAATTTAAGAGCATTTCAATTTAAGGACACAGGATAACAATGGGTAGTTGTGCTGAGCAATCCACTGGGGTGCTTTTTTTACCCTCCTTTTTAATTATATTAAAGGATGCACGTCTGGTGCCTTTCCAGAAAAGCAAAGCAAAGCAAAACAAAACAAAACAAAAAAAAAACCCAAAACCAAATAAAAAACCCCAAAACTTGCAAGCATCAAGGTAAAATAACTGAGCCCAAATATCTCCCTGAGCAGTATAAGAAACTGCAAGAACTGTTCAATGTTTCTGTCAAACAATTCCTGATACCATTGGTTGGATTGGAAAAGACCTTTGGGATCATCAAGTCCAGCTGCTCCCCCAGCACTCCCAATCCCACATATACACATCCCTTAAATTCCCTGAGGACTGGAATGTTGGAACAGCCTGTTCCAATGCTGGTCACCCCTTCCAATGGAGAAATGTTTCCTAATATTCAATTTACACCTCCCCTGGTGCACCTGGAGCAGCTTCCTCTTGTCTTACTTAGAGAAGAGACCAACCCAGCTAGAACATTTACAGAACTTTAGGTTTTGAACATGATCAGCAAACTTATTTATGGTTATTTAGGATTATTTATGGTTATTTAGGATTATTTATGGCTATATATGGCTATCCATTCTTACATGACACCAGGAAAACACCAAAGATGAGGAACAGAAGGTGGCTGTTAAGGAGGAAATCACCAAACCCATGCCATGAGGATTCCTGAGCTCAGAAGGTTCAGGGCAAATCCCTGCCTTCCCCAAAGCCTGTGGAATACCTCAGGGATGGGAAACCCTGCAAATATCCTGTCCAAGCAGTGAGGGAATGCCAAGAGTCCCCACTCTGTGCCTAGTTCCCCCAGGCCCTCTGGGGTGGTTCCTCCATTTCCTCAGGACGAAAGCGATGCTCCCCTGTCTGGATCTATCCCTGCCTCACTGCAGGCACATCCTGACTCACCTTTCCCTTCAGGTGTCTCCTTACAGCTGCTGGGAGCCTTCTGGCTCTTGGTTAACTCATCAAAGTTTCATTTCCCCCTCAGCTGCTGAGAAACACGAGCCCCTCCTGTGGATCAGGGTTATTATTACCTCACCCCGGTTAATTTGCAGGGCCTGTGCTCAGTGACATGGGACAGGTTCCAGCCACCAGCATCCAAACTCCTCTCAGAGCTCCCAAGGAAGCTCCCAAGGCTGGGAAAATCTTTTCCACTGTGCCATAAGAAGTGCTGCCTTTTTGTGAGCCCACAGAAATTTGGGCAAGGCAGGTGAGGGATGAGGCCCTCACAGGGCCCACCCCAGCACACACCAAACAGGGCACTCTGAGCAGCACCAGAGGGCTGCCAAAAGGAAGGATTTACTCTAAAAATCAGAGACAGGTGGGATCACTATGGTTGGAAAAGATCTCCAAGATCACTGAATACAACTTTGAAGGCAATGCTGTCAAGTCCACCACGTCCCCAGGCCCCACACTTCGTGTTTCTGAGTGCTTCCAGGGACGGTGACCCCACCACCCCCCTGGAGAGCCTCTTCCAGTGCTTGACAGCCCTTCCATGGAGAAATTTCTCCTAATATTCAATCTAAACCTCCCCTGGAACACCTCAAGGCCATTTCCCCTTGTGGACCTTGTTCCCTGGAGCAGAGCCCAACACCCCCAGCTGTCCCCTCCTGTCAGGAGTTGTGCAGAGCCAGAAATCCCCCATGAGCCTCCTTTTCTCCAGCCTGAGCCCCTTTCCAGCTCTTCCTCATGGGGCTTGTACCAAAGGCATCCACAATTTGCATCACACCCCCTAAACCTAACCATGTGAGAGGGAAATTCCATGGGCACCATTGACAGGGATTTGGGGCAGGAATTTTGATCTGATGCAGCTTCAGGGAGCAACACAAAACTCTGGAAGGAAAAACTCAAAGAAAGGAAGGAGCAGATATGTGAACAATGTCTTTTTCCACCACAGAACATTGGTGCTCAGTGGTGGGGCAGCTCCAGCATGGCAGGGGTGGCTGGGACAGCACAGGGAAAAGCTGCAGGGATTTCAATAATTCCAACCACAGCTGCCAGGATGTGCTGGACTCCTGAGTGTGAAGTGATGCCTAGGAGGGCACCCAAAGTACAGCTCCTGACCTGGGTGTCTGATTTGTGTAAAATACACCTGAGGAGCCTCCAAAGCCAAGGAGAGACTGCAACCTCAAGAGCTGCTCTTCCTCTAAGATAAAATTTGTCCATTTGGATGCCATAAGGCTGAAGAACAGACTGTCTAAAGCATCCATGGCCATCCTTATTTTCCTGACCATCGTCCACATAAAGCTGGAATTCAGATATCAGTCATTCAGACTCTTCATTTCTGTTAATATTTTCCTTAAGTACCACAAACAAGGATAAATTATACAGATGATTTTATTCTTTTCTCTAAGTCCTGGTGAAATTACTCACCCACTCAGTCTCATCTAAAAACCAGAGTATATTCATCATTAATAATTACATTTATTTCCTTGTAAATCATTTAGAAATCCTGGAAAATGACATCCAGTGTTCAGTTCAAACCAAAAGGTTTCCCTCCTCTTGTGACCCAGCCATCACTCAGAATCCTGCCCAGCAAAAATTTGTTTTAACTCCCACTGAATGTCCGAAATTAACAAACTCTTCTAAGAGGGAGAGAAAGGAGAAGGAGACAAGGGGGAAAGTGATGAAATTGGATTTTAAGAGTTGCGTAGAGAAAAGGGCCAGCAAAGTGCATGGAAATGACAAAGATGTGGGGAAAGGGGCTGAGCTCTGGGACAAGGCTCTGCAAAACTCCCAAAAATCCTCAGAATGCACAGGAAGGTACAAGAGGGGTCCTCTTTATCTCTCCCAAGTCAGCTGCTCTGCTCAGAAAGGATATTTTGATTATTCCTGGGGGGTTCTGAGCTTGGCCAGGCCAGAGATGGCTCGTGGTGCCCAGATGGCACACGTGAGGGCAAGAGCACAGGACATCTGCCCCCAGCACCACATGAGCCTGGGGATTCCTTTCCTCCTGCCCCAGGCATGTTGGGTTTTTATCATGTTAAACACACCCACTCCATCTCCTGAATATCATTGTTTTATTCCTCCCTGGAGCCCCGTGACAACAATGAAAGAGCCTTGCAAATGAAGGCAATTTAAAACATCATTTCTGTGTGAGGATATGAAACATCCAAGGACATGGAGAGGAACCAATGGGGACTAAAAAACATGAATGGAAATAGGAGCTCAGCAGGACTTCAGATTTCACATATTCCCAGCACAAGCAGCAGCCTCCCATCTTGTGTTCAGGCACAGACTGGCTGGGTTTAGGTTCATTTCTCCACACAAGCATGAATATTTTATTTAAGTGCTTTTCTAGGTCAAAGCTGTGCAGTACAACTTTGCTTGACCTGGGTGTTTAGAACAGATGTGCAGATTCGGGTTAAATTTACATACAAATATTGCACACAGGTTCAGGAAACACTGTGAAAATTTACTGATGCTTCCAGCACTTGAGTAATTTCTTAAGGGTTCATTTTCCAAAAGTTTTCACCAAAATTTGTGGGAGAACGAAAGTGATTGCATAGAAAACTTTTCCTACAATGTCGTGCAGTATATTAAATTCATTTATGATTTAATCTGGCATTGTTGCCTTTTTGGAGGGAGAAGAAGAACGCAGAACTGGAGAAATGCCACTTAATGAATTTTCTCTGTTCCTTATCTACATCTGCCAGTTCCTGCACGTTGAATATAAAGCCATTTTTTCAATTAATGCCTGGAAAATTGTATTTCTCTGACAGTCATCTCCACTGCAACCAAATGGAGCATGACAAACACAGAATGATTCTGATGCTGCAAAAATAGCAAAAGCACAGCACATCTCACACAACAATGAAAAAAACCCACCATAAAACTTTTAAGAGAATGTTTGAAATTGGCTCAAATTAGGAGCTGAAGAATGAAGAATTTACATTTGCATTAATTGAACAAATAAAGCAGTCATTGCTTATTAAATTCCTTCTGAGCTTTTTCTGATGCAGCCAGAAAATAAAATAAAAAAATTCAAATAGCAAAACCTGTAAATAATGGTATTTTTAAAATGAAATGAGAGATTTGTTCAGCATGGAAGGGAAAGGCTTCCAGGGACATTGTGGAAATGAAGGGAGAGAGGAAAGGCAACTATTTTGATTAGAGATAATTAAAAATTAGGTATGACACACCTGAGTTCTTCCTTTGAGAACCCATGGTTTTATCTCTGAAGCCAAAATCTCCTTGGCCTCAAACTCTTTTCTTCCACAATGAGCACTCCCACCATCACAGAAATTGAAGAACACCCGAAGAATCCCCTGGACAGTTATTTCATTTTCCTAGCCTGGTTTCACCATTGCATGTATTTCCCATGGAGCTCCCTGCCA